ACAATATTTTGTCAAATATTCAGGTTTTATTGAGGTTAAATCAGCTTGTTGTGGGTTGGGGAACCTGAGAGCCCAAGTTCCATGCGTGCCCGTTGCCAAGTACTGCTCCAACAGAAGTGATCATGTTTTCTGGGATCTGTACCATCCCACTGAAGCAGCAGCTCACCTCTTTGTCAACGCCGTTTTTGACGGTTCACAACAGTTTGCGATGCCTATGAATGTGAACCAGCTAATCGCTGCATAAACCGTGGTGTAAACAAGTGTTAGGGCTGTCCTTGATGCCCTTAAACATAGAAAGGAATACAAAATGCATAGAACAGAGGGGATAAGAAGATGGGATTGTTAACCAATTACCTGAACCAATAATATGTGCATGCATTAGTACAAATCAACTGCTTTACGCTCTATTTGTTTCTTCGAAAATAAGTTTTTCTGAAAAACATTTTCCGCATTTTCTAGGTTTTGGTATGACAAAAAAGATTAAACTGCAAATTATTGAGAAATATCACCACCACCCTAAGTTCTATTTGCCTCCAACTGTTCAATTTTCACAAACTAATCAAGCATGGAAATTATTGAGAAATATCATTGTAATACACATTCTTGCATTAGAATGAGAAAAGTTCGAAAATTGTTTGATTCAGATTTAATAGAAATCTGATACCAAAAGGAGAAAAATGGCTTGCATTGGCAGAAATTACCCATTTGTTTACCTTCGGTTTCAGTAGTACTTCAATATTGATACCAAAGGAAGTTTACCTGTGTGTGAATGGTTCTGAAAAACCTGAGAAATTTACAATAGCATTTCGTGATGCCATTGATGAGCAGGAGAAGAAAGAAGACAGATTTGATGCTTACATGAATCTAAGAAGGAAAGATATCTTGGAAGAAGAGGTTCAGATCGCCATTACAAGCATCAAATGATAACATTTTGTCGATTGTATCCTGCATTTGGTTTACACACGCGCACAATGATTCATGTGAAAGGTGACATGGAAATTTCTGAGTTTATTCTAACTACAAAACTAGTTTCAGAAGAAAAAAGAAAGTACCTTGTATTGTCGATCTTGAGCTGATATTTTATCATTGCACAGTCGGTCAACATGATTATTATTTCCAATAGCATTCAGTAAAGACGCTGCTCTCTTTATAACTTCCTCTGGGACACCTGTATGAACCATTTTATCAGAAATATCAGATTACCGGAGACCTTGGACAATAAAGCCTCTAGTAAAACCTCCGCAATTTGTCATGGAAATGAATGCATGAATTTAAACCTATGACAAATCATGGGAATTGCAGAATGTTTAACGAGTGAATGTTTACTAAAAGATTAAAAAATATGGGCGGAGTATGAAACCCTTGTTTTGCATTTGCCTAGCAATAATAAGGAAGCTTAAGAAAAACACACACACACACACACACACAAAAATTATTGTGAAATGCCTAGCATATTTTTTGAAAACCAGCTATTGTTTGAAACGTACCAGCAAGTAGTGCACAATGCAGCCCTGCAAGGTATGAACTGAAGTATGTGAATTCCAATTTTCTTAATAATATCCATCAGAATTCCCAACAAACACAGACACTATTTACTCACCATAGCTAAGAAGTGCATGTCCAGGAACAAGCCTGCAAGACCAAATTAAAAAATCCGAGTGGGGTTTCATAAAAGGTAATTTCTATTGGAAACTAAATCCGACAGATGATGTGTAACTATAACTGCATAAAGAGATGGTAGAATTTGTCTAAAAGTGTATGAAATTTTCCTTAAGAATACTACATGATATTAAAAATAACTTACCTATATAGAAATACAATATCTTCAATATCTGTACCATCATCAGGTTGTAGGACACTCATGGTGTAATACTTAATGTTATCAGACTGCAAATAATATATATATAGATGTGTCACGCAGTTGAAATAGTTAATACTTAAAGTTTTAAAAAATGCAATGTCTTGTTTATACCTCTTGTATGCAACTATCATTAAACATCTCGGTCAAGTGAGTGCAAACCAAAACCTGCAAATTAGTAGAGCATATCCCATCACAAGTTGCCTATCAAAACAAATGTGACTAGCAAACCTAGAGGTGGCCTCCAGGAATGCACTCTTAATATGAATTTGCATTTATTAGAAACTCTGGTTGGATAGCAATTGAGAGCATCAAGCCTTTGGAGGATCATAACAAGTGATAAAATGATTTATAGTTCCACCAAGGAGACAGTGCCATCTGAAATGAATTTTAACAACAGCGTATGATAGCTAAAAAATTACATTTATTGCATGACATATCAAAAGGATGGAAATTATTCTTGGTAAAACCAACCTTCTGTTAGAGTGCCTTTACCAAATTCGTCCAAGAAGCATAAAGATCGTGAAGTTGCATGCCTATGAAAGTTCTTGGAATCAATATATATAAATGACTAAGTTGTATACCCTATGGTTCCAGCACTCTTTCACATCCATAGCAAGAAAATAACAAGGGCCAACAGCCAACAAAAAATAAAATCAGTGGACTAATCCCCAGAACCAAACACCAACGATGCAAGGGGTAGATGCCAATCCCATGTCCATTATTAGTAGGTCAAGAGAAAACTGTGTAACTATACCTTAGCATCATTCTAACTTGATGTAGATCAATCATAAATGTTGACTATTCAGCATTCATAAATTTACTTCCCATGGCACAAAATATCCTATTTTTTGAAATTCTGGTAAGTTCTCGTAGTAAAATATGTAAAAAATGCAGTACCAAAAAAATTAATGATACCTAAAGGCCAGGGATATAAATATCGAACCTGTCAGTCAAACCCACAGTAGCAGCATCTGCGGGTACAAAACTTCCAATGTGGGAAAGGAAAACAATTAAAGCTACTTGGAAAAAAAAAATAATAATTTAAAAAAAAAATCATCTTTCGAGATGTGTCAAATAAGTATTTCTATTTATCAAAGATTAGTGCATTTATACCGAACATAAATGCAACATTATTATTAAAACTTTGACACAAAGAGGAAGGTGAAACATTGACAAACCTTACACTTATAGTTGTCAGATAAAACTATTGAAGAAATAATAAAATAGACAATATAATTAACTTAAAGCAGATATTATATAGGATTGCAAATTATACACTTACATGAACACTTAAACATATGACATATATCTACTGATACATGAGGGTGAATCATTCAAAGGAGAGAAAGAAAAAGAGAGTGAAGGAGAGCATGTTGGTTCCATAAAGAGAAATATAATAACTACTGACCTGCTTTATGTAGATACTTTTCCCTGAATAATTGGGGCCAGTGATGATATTAATCCTTCCTAAAGAAGTGTGACTTTGTTAGTTGAACAAGAATAACTAGTATATTCGAATGAGAAAAGACTTTATTGGCGAGTGGAGTAAGAAACCAATATACTTAGAGATGTTTAACTACAAATACCATCATCATGAATCTTTGTATCATTGGGAATGACAGTATCTACAGTCATTTCCTGCAAAACATGTATGAATTAACTACTTGTTAGGATTCCTTTGGTGGATGCCCAATTTTTTCTCTAATCTATTATAATATGACCTTGCAAATACAATCATTGACATATTGTAGACTGTACTAGACAACCTAACCTTCCATTCTATATATCAAGCAAGTCTTCTGTAGTCAAATTTGGCCTCACATAATTGTTTTGATGAGCAACCAATGCCAGTGATAAAAAGCTGGGTGACAACATGAAAAAATACAGTGAGGAATTTTCCTATTCCTTTTTTTTTTTTTTTGAGAAGTGAAAAAATATAGTGAGGAAATATATGTCATAAAAAAATTAAAAAAAAAAAAGAAGACATGAAAACCTAACAAGATATTGCAATGCAAATAAAATAGATGTTACTAAATTACCAGTCAAGTTCAGCTGAAAAATTCAAAGCCTTGAGAAGGTGTGCTGAGAATAGAAGAATTTGTGACACCAAGTCCCCAGTAATTGCCCTCACCATGTCTTCAAAAAGGAATTGAAGATAAGACATTAATCTATTTTTAATTTTTTTAAAAAGCATCATCAAATCACTCACAAGTAAACTGTTGGGGCTACATTAAGTTTATCAATGATTTGGTATAAATCCACATTATTTTTATTTTAATCATAAGTTCCAAAGTTAACTTTTTCAAACTGGCAATGTGTTTTATAAGCATTTAAGCAATGAACACGTGTTTCCCTCAAGTGTCCAAAGCATGTCTGGTTCCACAAAAAAAAAAATAATAATAATAATTTGACACGTTTGGACACATGTTCGGGGTGTCCAATGAGTGTCAATGTTCAATATGCTGTGAGATGCGAACATGGCACTTTTTTTTAGTAATGTATGTGCTTCTTGGCCAAGCAGTTTAGAAATTGTCATCTGGAATAACAACACATAGCAGAAGAGTGAATTAGACTACAGACCTAGGATTTTGTGATATATATCCCCAAGAAGGTTGTCCAATTCTCGTGTCTTCAAGGTGCAATAGAAAAACTTTTTCATGTCTCCATCTTCATCTGAGAACTACATTTGGTGGCACATTTTCTAGTATGAATGAAAATATACAAATTAACTGCATAAACTATTAGTTCCAATTTAGGTCATTGATTGACTTACAGCAAATTCAAAATCTTGAAGATTTTCTAGTGTGGTTTCATCAAGTTTTTCTTCAAAAACACACATCAAGTAACCTACATATAAACAAAAAAGCCATAGCATTAATCAATGTACTAAAGCTTAAAATCAATAACCGACATAGCAATCCCAATTGGCATACTTTAAAAAAAGAAAATGAAAACGAAAAGAATCATAAAAAGTGTTCTTCGTGTGTGAGTGAATTTATGATCACACTGCCAACTCATTATTCAGCTGGAGAGCACTGGCAGAATAGATGGCACCTGGCTGCCCTGTAATAGAAAGAGTAGATTCCGGCGGTGGTTCGTCCACCCGGGGGCACTCCGACGATCAAGTCAGTATATCTCTCAAAGATAATCAATCTTGCTAAACTCACAGTTCAGGATATAAATTGCGTACCTCAGACCCATCGGGGGTGCCTTTCTTTTATAGTTAGCTCAATCCTTGTCCCAACAAAAGCCTAGCTTCAATGGACTTCTGTTCAGTGCTTATCCAGGACTCTTCTATAGATAGAGATAAACTCCCTAAGAGCTTTATCTTTATCCAGGCTGAGTCCCCTCATCATTCTAGGACTCTTGTGCCTTATCCGCTCATCTCAGATTCCGATATCTTCGGAGATAACCTCGGCGTCATGACCAGGACACGTGGCACCTTGACTGACACGTCGGCATCACCTTGGCCACGTGTTGGTACTCAGAAATTATATCCCCACAACTGCCCCCTAGGTTCTATTATCTTGATGGAACCTATATCAGAACTTCCTGTCAATACATCGGTTTAAAGTCTCTCAGCCGAGATCATCATATAGGCCGACATGTCTCTTTAAAGATTAAACATTCCAAGATCTCCTTCACGCGTATGAGCTGTCATGCAAAATAACTCAACCATTTCAGCCACGCGTCTTCTTTTTACTGGATTGTACTCCGTACGCGCTTGCAAGTCGTCTCGCACCTACATGCGCCGTCTGACGCATTCGTTGTTCCAGACACATTAATTGTCCTTTTTGCCGCCATTTCAAGTTTTGACAAAACTTGTTTCCTTCCCCCGTCTTTCCACTTTTCACTTTCACGTTTGAAGCTTTTTTCTCTTTCTAACTTTTCCCTTCAAGATCCTCCATTGTTCAAGCTTCCAAAGCTCTACAACTTGCTCCGTCCATTTCCTCCGACGAGGTTCTTGCCAATCTGTTTCGCTGCCGCCGTTTTTATTACTTTGGCGATCTCAACATCAGTTTCTTTTCTCTGGTAAGTCACCATTCCTCCTGATTTTAGTTCTTGTTGTGCTCCAAGAAATTTTGCTTCATCATTAGTCGCTATTGCTGTTTTACTCAAATATTTGATTCATGAATCATGCATCTGAGTGTATTTATTTCATGATTTTGTTCTTTGCCCATATCTTGAATACTCGCACTGCTCACAACTTTTCTGCACTTTTTCCACTGTTCTTGACCTTATACCCTTCGTACTTACAATGTTCTTGATAGTCCACGTCTGTTTCTTGATTCTGAAGCGCATTCTTACTTTTCTGTTTTTCAGATTTCGCGCCTTCAATCTTCATTTCCATAGACCTACGTTTGGGATTTGCTTGTAGAACCCACGATTATTAGGAAAAACTGAAACTATTTTCACAAATTCTTACCCAGCACATACTTTAGGTTTTTGTCAAAGTCCTAATAACCCTTTCTTAAGGCTCCCTTTTTCTGAAGTCCAGCTCTTCTAATTCAGGCCGTCGTTATGGGTATGTGGAAGCATAGGGTAGATACCCCGAGCAAATTAGAGCACTTTAGGCAGGAGTTTGACATCTCGGCCGACATTCATCTGAGGTTGGCTGGGGAGGATGACTCTATCATGCCCACAGTTGATTCCATGCCCCTTCCAGTTGTAGTTTTCATCGAGTAAGGACTTCGGCTCCCACTCAATATCCTTTTTCGTGAGATCATTCACTACTATAAGTTGAACCCAATGCAGCTTGCCATCAACTCCTACCGAGTTATTAATGGCATCATAGCCTTAGCCAAATAAGAAAACGTTAGGGTTACCTTAGCCGATATTCAGTTTTGATATACCATGTCTGGCCTCAAAAAAGATACGGGCTACGTTTACTACCTCAAGTCGAAATCTACAGAGTACAAAATCGTAGCCGACCTCTCAGACTCCAACAAGGGGGCTGGAGACGACTACTTTATTACCTCGGGGAACTGGGAGTTCGCTCCAGATGAGGACTTCCATCTTTACCCTCTTCCTTGAACAGTTTTTGTAGAGGGCAATGGTAAGAGCCCTGTGTCCATATTAACTTGTTTGTTTTAAAGTCTTCAATACTTTATTTGTTTCTAATGTCTACTTTTCTTGCAGCTCTTCCTCAGCCACTAAAGGGCGTCCGTCAATCTTTCTTTCCCAGCAAAGACTTGAGGAAACTGTTAGATTTACCAGTCCTCAAATGGAAGGCCCCTCTTCTACCCAATTTCATTCCTACCTACAAGTCAGCTCTTCCCGACGTCCCCAAGAAGAAGAAGAAAAGTCTTTCTCTGCCTTCCGCTACAACTCCTCAATCTGCCTCCTCATCTCGGCCAGATCAAGGATCAACTTCTGACCCAACAGATCAGCTGTCAATCTCGACTCCATATCTGATCCCGCCATCTCAACGCCAATGTTGGCGACGAACGATTTTTCCAACCGGGATGGGTCGCCAGAAAACAGTTACCAAAAATTTCTTGGCCAGCATCCCATCAACCATTGACGCTTCACCAGCACAATCTTAGCCCCCTACGAAGCCGAAAAGAATAAAGAAGGCTCAGCGAAAAGCAAATGTGACTCAGGTTGACACTGAAGATACTTTGTCAATCTCCAAATTGGCTGAGAGTGACAAGTCCCATTCTGCCGCCGAGAAGAGGCCTGCCGAAGGCCAACCATCCGAATCCCCAAAATCAAAGAAGCCGAGATCATCCGCCACAACCACATCGGGGTCTCGAAAGTAGGATTCCCCCTGGGCTCCCTAAATCACACTGGAGGATAAGCCAGTTAGGGCTAGTGACAGCGCTGATGACATTAATGTCAACGTTGCCCTTAGTACTGCTCTGCTTCTTTCCGACGATCTCGACCGAAACACCGAGTTGAGTGAATACGAAAACTATGCTCTGATGCTCCAGCGCTCTGTCCAAGTGAGTGTCTTTTTTGGTCATTCCGAGTTGAGTGAATACGAAAACTATGCTCTGATGCTCCAGCGCTCTG